CCTTGCCATAAACCCAAGACACAACTTCCAACGGATTGGAAAATTCCGGCGTCTGGGATTCTCCAGGTCAGGAGAAAAGAAAAAAGGACTGACAAAGACGATTCCCCTAGCAGATCGGAAATACCAACGACCAAGTTTTTGAGCGGGTCGGAGCACAACTTCGCCTGACGGGCAAGCTTGCTTCAACGTTGGCAGGATGCGAACGAAGTACATGTAAGACAACCCCATTTCATGCCGAGCGTGACGAGGCAGGGAGGCAGCACGCTACCCACACAACATCTTTACAGGACGCAGCGAGACGTCTCCCTCTAGGATCCCTTGCTGGGTCAGGGCCAGGAGTTCCGTCAGCCCACTGGCTGATGACGACTTTTCCGTTTCTAAGCGGGCAAGAAGAGGGGAAACCAACTGCCTGCCTGGGTTGGCATCGAGGGTCAGCTGCCCACTGCGCATTACCCACCTACAGTATGAACCTTCGTCAGACAACAGGCGCGCGCGCCCTAGGTGTTCGAAGTGCCTGGCGGGCGTTGAGGAAGGAGACGCACTGTGACGCGGACAAGGATCCAGTCAGAAAAGGCAGCCAGAAGGCCACTTCGCCTCCTCTCGCAGCGTGCGATGGCCGCTAGACTGCAACGAGGGATGCTGAGAGCTGCGACCCAGCACCCTCCCACTTGTCTCTTGCGGGCTGGTCTGAATACCCACCCCCCTCTCAAGGCCCGGCGTCTCCTCCCCCTCACCAGCTCCACAGTGCACCTCAGAGCCAGCGAGCTACGCACCCGCTCTCTCCACGAACGTCGTCGTCTGCCTCCTCCCTTGTCCTCCGTTCAGATCCTTGTCCCGGCCTTGATTGGTCCCGGGCATTTGGCTGGCGAGGATGCTGCCAATCATGTCCTGGATACCCTCTCCACCTTCCGTCTCACCCACAGTTCAAGGCCAAGGCCATCCACATCAAGGGCAAACTCCCCCCTCTCAGATGGAGGAAGTACCTCGTACAGTGCAGCAGGTTTCGGCGACTGCGCCTGGCCCCTTTCCTCCTGCCCACCTATACTTGTCTGTTGCCTGCTGTCGTCTGCTCCTCGTGGCCTGTGCCTGTGCCTGTCCGGCTTGGTGTTAGTGCTGCCACCAGACGCTCTTCGATCAGTGTCCCGTGTCCTAGGTATGTCCCGTGTCCACCACCTTCCATCGCATTCCGGCACGCGCCTCTGTTTCGCCAGTGCTCACCGTCTGGCCACCCGCGCTCTTTCCAAACACGACCTGTCTCGCAGCGGCCTGCTTCTGGTGCCTCCATCATTGAGCCCAATATTCGTGGAGGGCCTGTCGCACGTTCTTTCGAGTGTCAATTGAACTGGCAACGCTCACTACATGTACTCTTCTGTGCCAGTGCCTCGCAGGCTCCGTAGACGCCATCGTTGCTAACCGACAGACACCATTGATTCCCGCTCCTCCCACCTCCAGTGGGTCCGTACTTGTCCCACTGTACAGGCGAGAGAGCCTACAGGCCTACAGGCACAGACAAGCCCAAGCCCAGATGGAGCGCAGTCATGCCTGTAGCCACAGCCCCAGGGAGCAGCCGGGCTAGAATGTACTCACTGAAGGTACCACCGCCCGTCGCTTGAGTGGTGTGTACCTACCTACCAAGATGGGGGAGGTACCTCACCCAGCTGGGTCGATGTTGCTTGCCCATGCCACAATGCTTGCTTACGGATATGCTACCAACAGTCGACCAACTCCACGAACACTGTACAGCGACCTGCTCAGGCCTCCTCCTCACGCCCCCATCCTTACCCCCCCTTTACACTCGCACCCTCCCTCTGGCACACAGACACCCCCCGCCCGAATTGCTGTTGCTCGCTCCCAAAATAATATTATTTCGCTGCTACTGAGGCATACCTTCGCGACTCCTTTGCCTTACACCACCTTCACCACTTCTACTTCCACCAAGTCTCTTGCGCGCAACATCACGGCTACCTTGCAACGACAACGACACTCTTTTCTTTTGAGCCTCCAGGTCTCCTCCCCCCTCGCGACCCGGCAGTCTTGTCGGTTCCAGTTCAGCACACATCGTCAGCAATGGCCTCTTCCAAGGTACACTCTCCCCAGAGCTGACACCCCGGGCTGCCCGCTGTTGAGCCGAGCTGCGACGGCCAGATTGTTGATGATCACAACCTCCACGACACCTGCTTCCGAGTTCAAACCCCATGGCTGACCATCGAGTTCGCATCTCTAGGAGATGCAGCAGTCTACGAGGCCATTGACTCATCGGTCCTCCGTTTCCGCGGCTTCGGCTTCAGGCCTCATGACCCGACAAGCCCACTCGCGGAACAGCTCTCACTCCATTTTGAGCAGTTCGCTCAACGCCAACCACCGTGTGACCCGCCGCAAGTCCATGACCAATAATACAACCAATGTCGCGGCCGTAGAGGCGGCACTCAAGGAGGCCAACGCCGACGGCTCCGTGGCCATGCCCATCGGCTCCGTCGCGCGCCGTAACACGGCCTCCAAAAGCGCCGCTGCTCGTGCCGCCATCATGGCCAACCTGCCGTCGCCCCCTGCGAGCCTCCCACCACAACATCGTTTCCAGATGGAAAAGGATGGGTTGATGCACGAGAGTGCCATTGACGACGATCCTCAGGACATGTCTGCCGATGAAGGTCTCGACCAGAAGGCTTCCGTGCGCCGCGCGAGTGATGGGCAGCCGCTCATCAAGGAACGGCGTAAGAGCAACCGCGTTGAACTTCGTTGCGAAAAGTGTGGCAAGGGATACAAGCACAGCAGTTGCCTGACCAAGCATTTGTTCGTTCCATCCTTTCCCCCCCCGCCTCCCCTCCCTCCAGCAGCCGATTCCGGTCTAGCGATCGCCTTGGGTCGTCCACTGCAAGAAGAAGCATTCGCGGAGTGAAGTTCTGTGACTGATAGCCGACCAGGTGGGAACATACTCCCGAATGGTCCTTCACGTCCAAGCTGCTCATCTCCAAGCACCAACAAGTCCAGCTCCTCGAAGCTGCGTCGGTGCTCGTAGCCATGAATGGGCCGGGGAAGGATTCCTCCACCCCGCCCGAGTCGGCCAAGGACTTCCAGAGCGATCCCGAGTCTGCTCCGTCACCCGAAGCGTCGGCATCGGGCTACTCGGACTCCCGGCACAGCTCTGCCGACACGACCCCGCCGCCTCAGATCGAGGGCATGGCCATGTCTGGCTCATCGGGCCCCTTTTCCAAGCGCTACAGCGGCTTCGGTCGATCGTACCAGTCGGCTCCCTCGACCAACCCCCTCGTGACAGGAAGCATGCCGAGTGGCCCAGGAGGCTTCGCACACTTCCGCCATCAGAGCCAAGAGGGCCGTCCTCCTTCTTCCGGGCGTAACACCACGGGACAAGAAGACCACGAACTGGCCGCCGCGGTGGAACTGCTGAGTTGCAGCTTCAACAGCAACAACGGCTCGCGGACGGTGAACCTGCCTGCAGATGTACCCCCAGTGCCCCCTCTTCCCTCCCGCTACCTCGACCAGGCGGCGTCGTTCAACAATACTGGCTTCCTCAGCAGTTATCCAAGCAGGCAGCCGGAAAGCTTCACCCGGGGCGAAATCCGACACCGTGACACCAAGGCCGAGGAGAGCGACAGCATGATGGATGACGATGAGTTCGATCGGCGATCTCGGTCGCGCAGCGATGAGGACGACGATGGCGTCTTCGGACGTATGGAGGAGTAGGAATTCCTCCCATTGTCGGAAGCCGGAGTTGTCGATATTGTCGTTCGCGGCAGTCGAAGACGGAGACAGAACCGGAGTTGATTTGACCAACGAGTCGACGAGGAATGACGCCAGGGAGGATTGTGCCCTTTTCTTTTGTACCACCTTATAACTAAACCCCTTGTAAAACGAGGTGGTTCAGTCTCCGCCGCCGATCTCTCATCACCGAAGAGTGGAGAGCCCGATCCGGCTCTGTTGGGTCGATCGCGAGAGCATCTCCACGAGGTTAAAGTGAGGGACGGGCGGGCGTCGAGCGAACACCCACCAAGCATGCATGAAGCAAACCAGATGATATCATTTTCGAGACTTTCGAGTCGGAGTGGCCACAAACATTGGCTATGCAGCTCTTCTTGCGTAGGAAGAGTGTAATAAATTCAAATATAAAAAAAACCCCGAGACACAATTGGCCCATGATGTGAAGGATGAATTCTGTGGAATTGACTGTATGACTTGCTTGACTTGCTGGTGGACTTGATCATCAACACAAATCCCAGCCGTTGCAAAGGTGCCGCGGCTGGCATGGTGCTGCTATCCATGACAATGTCAGGTAATGAATGGTGCGAAGACTGTCTTCGCTTTCGAAGCTTTGCAGCCGAGCGAGGGCTTCATCCACGGGAGATCGAAGAGGAAGCCCGACGGTCTGACGAGCTGGCTGACGGTTGCTTTTGAAGGGCAGATTCCCGCGAGATCAAGGTTGGGAAAAAATTCTGCTTCAAGGGTCCTCGAGGAAGAGCACATAACCCCTGTATCTGCTGACCGAATGCTGGCTAGCTTCGTCGTCCTGCGTGAACTGTCTCCGTTTGGTTGTGGGGTTTCCTTCCTCTGGCCAGCCCGTGGTAGGCAGGTGGAAGCACCAGTCAGTAGCAATGCAACGCCGACTGACAAGCTAACGAGCTCTCCGTGCCAGGCAGGTAGGTGCGCGAGTGGTGGGCCTGTGTTGGCTGACCTCAGCGCTCTTCTTCTGTTGTTGTTTCCCTAGCGACGTCACCACCCCCACCGCAACAGCTCTTTGCGCTCGCAACCTAGGTACCTACGGTGCTACCTGGAGGTACCCCATCGCGGCCTCTTCTGCTCGCACACACATTGACTGGCAACAACCCTCCTTCTACCTGTTCGCCTTGCCGCACATTTGAACTGATTCGTTCCATCACTCAACGTCACCGTGACTATTTCTTTTCCTTCCCCCTTTTGTTTCTTGAGAGAACACTCTTCCATTCCTTCCGTCCAACACCGACAACTAGAATTGATCGAGAACCGCAATGCCGACACTACGCAGAGCTGCGAAGAGGTCCGAAGAGGCCCAACACGATGGTCTTCACGTCGATGAGTCTACACGCGCCCTCGAAACCGTTGCGGCGAATCTCGAATCCGTGACGTCGCACCCCGAGAGCGGTGTCGTTGAGGCGCTGGGTGTTGTCAACGATGCTACTGAGGTGGTCGCACGCAAGGCGGATGATGCCATTGTCGCGACCAAGGAGGCGGTTGCGCCAAAGGTCGCGAGCAAAGGCCGATCGAAGCTGCCGACCGTCCTCCAATTCCCTCTTGTGACTCTGCTGAGCTTCAGCGTCTCAAGCCTGTGCTACAGCTTCCTCAATGAGTGGAGTGGTGGGGAGCTCATGAATGTGGGCAAGAGCCTGGATACTTGGGGCGAGGTTGGGATTCTGGCGGGCTGGAGGATGTGAGTACCTGTGATCGCAACAGAGGAAGGTCAACAACAGCTGACTTGGTGTAGATCTGAGCTGGCCCTTGGTTGGTTCGGCAACTTTGATGGCCTCGACCTTGCTGCGCTGAATCTCCTGGCGCATGGCCCTGCCGTAGGATTGACCCCTCCCTCCACAACGAATGTTCTGCTGACCATCTGGCCACCCAGTTCTACCTCTTGTCCACCTTTTACAACATCAGCACGCCTACCGTGCTGTCGGCTCTCGGCATTGAGATGCTCTCCACCTTTGCGCCTTTCACGGCCCTTCGACCCCTCTCTGGCGCCCACGCTCCCGGTTCCAAGGGCGTCGCGAACCGCGAGATCATCACCGATGCGCCTATCCAGATCTACACCACTCTGCTCTCGGCTTTGATCTACGGCATCACCCTCTTCATCGCCCTGCACACCTTCCTCCCGACTAGCCTGATTCTCTACTTTGAGAACATTCCTAGCCTGACGCCTGCCTACACGGCGAACTACCTGACTATCCTGCCCATCACCTTGGCTTTCGGCTTCGCGGCGCGCACCTTTATCTTCACGCCCTTTGCCGCTACGGGCCGCAGCAAGGAGGACGGCCGCCTGGGCGAGTTCGATCCCGTTACCGCGACGCTCGGCGAAACAGTCGCGTTCAACCTCTGGGGCTACACGTCGCGCGCCAAAGTCATCATTCTCCGCACCGGAGTTGCCATGGCCGTCACGGGCATCAACACGTACCTGCAGACGCACATGACAGTCGGCGGGGTTGAGACCCGTGGTGCCGCGGCGTATGCCCTGCCGTGGGTGGGCGCCACATTCTTCACGGGGTTGGCGCTCGCCTTTGTTGGTGGTGAGGCGTAAGCTGGGGGCTTGAGGCAGGCGGGCAGAATGAGATGTCGGAAGGCTTGAAAATGGGACGTGCCAGAGAGGTCTAGGGACCATGACAATGTCATGCGACTCTTTGCTGGAAACGAGAGATCGAATCGTCGATGGCTGTGCCGCAATTTCACGATGAGCTTTTGTGTGGATGGCGTAGGGACGGCTAGCTTTATGGTTTGTATTTTACTTCCTATGTATACCGAGTATGTATTGTTTGATTAGGAAGCTGTTCAATCTCGCAAGGGGATCCGATGGCGTGATGACTGGAAGCTCAGACGGTCTTTTCTCTGATCGACCACAGGGCTGAGCAAGGGTTCACTTGGCAGAGGGACTTTGGCTGTACTGTGCCTCACGAGATGTGGTTTGAGAAAACTAGGGGTGTGAAAAGTGTTGCACAATGTTGACTCCAATGACCTGCTGGGCTACTGAACTAAAAGCAGCAAACAGTTGCTTGATGCCAAAGCAAAGCTTATAGTGGTTTGAATTTCGCGGTCTCCGCCTCGTATGACACCCACTCACAGTGCTTGCCCGGGCCCACGAGCGTCGGCTCATAATGCCATCTATAAGCTACTTTAGGTAGACAGCAAGTACATTCGTTGTCAATGCAAAGGCAGATATGGCGGCATACTGCAGAGTCTTACAGGGCAAGATAGTTGTCATTGTAGCCAGGCACCATAGGCAACAACGCGGGCAAACCTCGGCACGCGGGTGATGTCAGAGCAGCGGGACCCAAGCATGACTGGCGCACGAACCAATCGCCCGCATGCAGGGGCCTTGCTCTGGACCCCCCCCTGAAGCTTGAGCTCCATGGGGGCTTAGCGCGCGGCAAGCAGCGCAGAGAGCCTCGCGCATTCGTGTACGACCTCCACGTCCCTCGTCGAACGCGACCTGCCTTCCGACTGCCACACCCCTCGTGCATCGCGTCGGTCGACTCCTCGACACTCCTGCACCGACAAAACTCGACAAGACGCGTGCTGAACTGCCCTTTTCTTGACGCCATCGCCCACCATGGCTGCCGTCGACGCCTCGGCCGAGGCTGAGGACGCAGTCTCTCCAAAAGACAAGACAACCATGGAGCAAGACATGCCGCAACCCCCCCTCAGTGCCATCAACAACCCTCTGAATTCACTTCAGATGCGCGCCGATCCTGATGCCCAAGCTACGGTCACCGACTTTCTCGACTTCACCGAGTATCTCCCGTCCGACATGATGCGCTCCCTGACGTTGATCGGCCAGCTCGATTCCCGCTACCACGACGCCTCACTGAACGTGCACAACATGACGACCACATGGGGGCAGCTTCCCAAGATCCCGGCCGAGACGCGTCCCGCACCGAGTCAGCTTCGCGCCGACATCTCAGACGGCCTCAACAGGACCGTCAGCTCGCGGGCCTTTGCGCACGCCGAGGCCATGCGCATGGACGAGAACGTGAACCGCCACTACAACCGCGTCAAGCTGATCCTGTCCAAACTGCAAACAATGTTCGAAAACTATCCGACGGAAGACGAGCAGAAGAGCCCTGTTGCCGTGGCCAAGTCGCCGCAGCTGGCGAGGGCTCCGAAGCCGACGCTGCGCCTGGCCAACGGCGAGAAGGCGCGGCGTCAGATGATCCCGCGCATCACCGTCCCCGGCGAGGTCCTGGCGCCGTACGACAACTTTGAGGCCTACAGCTCCGACAGCGACGAGAGCTCCGACGACGAGGACGTGGAGATTGCGCCGTACAAAGCCGGCGCCGCGTCCAACGCGCGCGTCAAGCTCATGAAGCCGCCCAAGACGCCCAAGCCGCAAAAGACGCCCAAGGCACCCGGCTCGAGACCGCCCAAGTCGGCGGGCGGAGCGGGCTCGGCGATTGCGCCGCCCGCCACGCCTTTGCCGCCGCCGAAGAAGCCGCCCGAGAATGCCGTGATTGGCAGCGCAGACGCCCCGTGGCTCCAACTGACTGCGTGGGAGCTCGCCAAGCTGAGAAAGCGCATGAAGAAGAATGCGCAGTGGACACCTAGCGACACGATGATCTCGCGAGAGCTGAACGACCTCGGCCGTGGCATTGATGCGTACCGAGAGGCGAAGAGAAAGGCGGAGGAGGAGGGCATCGCCTTTGACCCTGCTCCTTCGGCCATCGCTGCCGAGTCGGAGAATGGCTACCAGCAGACGCCCGAGGGCGCGCTGAGCGCTGCAGCTCTGCAGTCGGACGAGGTCCAGCTGAGCAACAGGGGCATGAAGCTCAACGAAGCCAAGAAACTGAAGAGAGAGTCGCTCGCGAAACAGGCGGCTGAGGAGGCTGAGGAATCTGCCCGCCTATTTAATGAAACGGCGAGGATGTTGATGACGCCCCAGCAGCCGCAGTCAAACTCGCAAGCAAAGGCGTCGAGCAAGCCCCCTGCTTCGGCCAATCGAAGCCACAAGCGCAAGAGAGATTCGGCGACGGAGACGGAGCCTCCAAAGATTGGCGAGCCAGAGAAAGCCGCGCCGCGGCCGCCGCCTGCCAAACGGACCAAGACGGAAACGCCAGTGCCGCTTCCTCATCTACGCGCAAGCCTGAGCACCCAGCCGCTGACCGAGACGCCCGTTCTCCCGCCTGTCTTGACGCCAGGGGGCACAGCCGTGACACCTCATTCGACCACGCCAGTGCCGCTTCCTGTCCCCGGGCAGGACGCGACCAAGAGGACGGTGTCCCCGGCGTTGTCCAAAGAAAATGGCGCCGGTGCTGGCACAATCACGACGGTCATTCCTGTCAAACCTCCCGCTGAGACCCCTGTCCCAGCTCCCATTTTATCACCAAGAAAATCCACCACACCCATCCTTCCTCCCATCCCCCAGTCATCAAAAAGAGAGACAAGGGGCGACGTGGCGAAGAAGCCGTCGTTCTCAGAGTCTGAAGTCTCCCAGCAGTCGGCCCCTGTCCTGCCACCGCTCCAGCTGGAGCACACCGACCAGCAGCCAGA